CCCGGCCAACCCATCTCGGCATTACCAAAAGCCGACATCATCACCCAGACTAAATCTTTCGGCAACCCCACCTTTATTATCAGTTCCCTTGGATGTCAGAAAAAATCAATATAGACTTGTTGCAAAGTGAACCAAATAACAAAAAAGAAATACTTTAAAAATGTTGGTCTATAGATGTACTAGAATATTTATGTGTATTTTTTTTTAACAATTATATCCTTGTAATGTATTTGCAGGCATTGCACATTCTTTCTTTATCGACAAGAACGGTTACATTCGTTTACTGTCGTTATACTTGACGAAATTCTTTTGTTTATAAAAGCCAATAAAACGTGTCTGGAATCTTTCATATATCAAACATATTAATACAAGACATCTGATAATTTATAATTTAGCCGAATGAGAAGTTATTATTATGTACATCATTTACATGCTGACATTTCTTCTCTATTTTGTTGGGATTACAACGTTTCTGGATTTAATTGATTCGGCCAGTGCGATCAAGCGTGTCAAGCAACAGTATCCTCAGCAGCAGGCAGATTAGGTTTTAACCTTAAAGTTCTCCGGAAAATAGCCGATTGGATTAAGGCATTGATCTGTGAACTTGGTGACACAATAAATGCAAATTCAAACATTGGGACGGGTTGTGTATTTAAACTCAGTGGAGACAGGGCGAGCAATAACTGAGAAGTATTAAATAAGAACAAGAGAGGATATCCCTAGACATCTTCAGAGATGTGAGAACGGTCTACCACCGTAGATTAAATAAAGTGTTCAGTTCGGTGTTTATTGTAGGTTACTCAAACTAAAGTTCGTGAAACCAGTTTGCGCAACGGCTAGAAAGTTGTAATAATATCAAAAACGATACGACCCTAGTCTCCCTGTGAATAATGTAGATAATAATGTTTGATGCATTGTCCGTTTAAATTATTGAAGTTATACCAAATAATTCTCTAAAAACTTCATAATGAGCATCCTATTAGTAATTTTTCTGATTTTGATGCAATATCGTAACTGAAGACTAACAATAACTAACATATTTAACAGAATTTCTCTCTACTAAAAAATGTTTGGCTTAAATTTCCTCAGAATTCTGTGTGCAATGCATCCACCTTTTCTTTTTTTTCATATTGATATTTTTAATAGCGTATTAGATAAATCTGCTTAAAATATATTCAAAACTTAATCATTGTGCAGATGCCTGAACAAGCCGGAATCTTTATTCAACAGCTGTGGCGTATAAAGACTAACACACACACACACACACACACACACACACACACACACACATATATATATATATATATATATATATATATATATATACCTTAGCAATTTCCTCCTGAACGATGGTCTCTCAATATTCTCTCTTCTTCCTCTCTCATATTGCTAGTTCACATTTACAAATTAACACCTTCAAATCCAACAGAATCCTATGGTTGAAAATTTATATATTGATAGTACTATGAATTCTTTTAAGACTAGGTGGTATCAACATATCTTGTTCTTTACCAATACTATTTACAAAAATAATACGACACTTTCTATGAAATTATTGAGTTTAAAAGATGATAATAAGACTCTTAAGTTGAAATGGAAAATGTTTTAAATGGCAAGGAGATGTAGAACTTTATATGGATCCTGTTTTTGTCTACATGAAAAATCTAAATCATCAAATATTTTGACAAAAATTCATTGTTAAATCAAAGGAGTGAATTAACGGTAAATTGTAAGCACAGTTTACCTTACAATTTAGATAAACTTTGGAATTTGATATTTTTCTTATATTTTTGTTGCACTGTGTTGCAGTACATAATTTACTAAATAATTCTATATACTATAATTATTAAATTATTTCTTAAAGAAGCTATTTATTCATCAACTACAAAAATATGTAGGAAATTTACAAAGCATATAACTTGTTTAGCAACCATATATATCCGCTTTAGTTCATGTCTAACTGCTGTTAGTTTCAAATCTATGGGTCATGATGTATATAGAGAAATATTTTTTCTTCTTCGCTTAGATTAAATTTAACGCAGGACATATTTGATTGTCTGATCAGAGTAAAGCGCACAAACCTTATCACACACTTTTCTTTCTTTTCTTAAAAGTGGTTGTATTTTACTCTGAAATCTGAATTGTTCACTCTCCAGTAATTTACGATCGACTGATGAGGTGCATTGATATGCATTGAAACACGACAGCAATTGTGTAGTGATTTTTACATGTTTTCGATGTAATATCTTATATATATATATATATATATATATATATATATATATATATATATATGCATGTTTCATTAAAAACGACAGACAAGGTACTACAGTTGTTTTTTTTATTTAATTTTTCTTGTGTTCTGACAAGAGCTTTCTTTTCTGGACAAAAGTGTGTAAGAACTGTCCGAATGTTCTGTGTTTCCGAGCGCTTTCGGCTATACCTTTAGCCATTATCAAGGATGGTTCAATTATCAGCTTAGTAGAGTGTGTTCTATGTATGTTCAGTGTGTGGTAGTGATGTTTTAGTTTCCGAATACGGTTAGCACATTGTGGCTTTGTTCATAGTTGATATTGTTAAGAGTTGGCTTTTTTTTTTTTTATTATTAGAGCTTCCATTATTTTTAGTCTTTTTTGCAAGTGGATGCAGTTAATATATTAGTGTTTTCTACTAGTATGTTCCTAATAGTGTCGGGTAAATCTGAGTGTGTGTTTAAATGTGTTCTGATGGAACTGTGATCAGATAGGTGTAATGTAAGACGTCTGGATAAACATGTGGTTGTGTAGCCGATGTAATTATTTATGAGTCCGGTTTGGTGAGGAACGCAGTTCCTTAAAGGGCATTTGAACTCATAGATAATGTTCGTTCTTTGTAATTTTGACTTCGTTGGTGTGTTGTTATTTTTGAGGATAAGGTTGGCCGTCTTAAATTTTTATAATAGATAATAAGTTTGATTTTTTTATCGGGTCAATAGGAGTAGTATATTTCTTTATAATATGTCTTAGAGCAGATTCATCTTGCTTGTAATTAATATGCATTTGGTTTTGTAATAAATGTGTATGTGATTTTTTAGTTGTGTGTTCGCTATCATTATTACTTGCTTTGGGGAGGAATATTCTAATTTGTTGGTCTATAAGGTAGTTAGGGAAACCATTGTTAATTAGTGTTTGTTTAACGTTGTTAAGTTCTTTGAGAAAAAAAGAGTAGTCGAGAGGATGAGTTCTGGTGGGCTCTATTTAGAAGTTTTTTATTACAGCTATTTTGTACCTAAGTGGACATTCACTTTTTGAAATTAAGGTGGCACGAGTTTTTGCTAGTGGTTTTTTTTTGTATAATGATGTAATGAAAGTGTTATTGTTATGTTCAACGAGGATATCTAAGTTCATATGTAAAATTAAGGACGGAGTTTTTCTCAAATGTGGTCTTAAGTGTCTCTATTTCTTTAATGTTATCATTATCTATGAGTTCAAATGAACATTATCTATGAGTTCAAATGCCCTTTAAGGAACTGCGTTCCCCACCAAACAGACTCATAAATAATTACATCGGCTACACAACCACATGTTTATCCAGACGTCTTACATTACACCTATCTGATCACAGTTCCATCAGAACACATTTAAACACACCTCAGATTTACCCGACACTATTAGGAACATACTAGTAGAAAACACTAATATATTAACCGCATCCACTTGCAAAAAAAGACTAAAAATAATGGAAGCTCTAATAATAAAAAAGAAAAAGCCAACTCTTAACAATATCAACTATGAACAATGGTTTCCCTAACTACCTTATAGACCAACAAATTAGAATATTCCTCCCCAAAGCAAGTAATAATGATAGCGAATACACAACTAAAAATCACATACACATTTATTACAAAAACCAAATGCATATTAATTACAAGCAAGATGAATCTGCTCTAAGACATATTATAAAGAAATATACTACTCCTATTGACCCGGATAAAAAAATCAAACTTATTATCTATTATAAAAAATTTAAGACGGCCAACCTTATCCTCAAAAATAACAACACACCAACGAAGTCAAAATTACAAAAGAACGAACATTATCTATGAGTTCAAATGCCCTTTAAGGAACTGCGTTCCCCACCAAACCGGACTTATAAATAATTACATCGGCTACACAACCACATGTTTATCCAGACGTCTTACATTACACCTATCTGATCACAGTTCCATCAGAACACATTTAAACACACACTCAGATTTACCTGACACTATTAGGAACATACTAGTAGAAAACACTAATATATTAACTGCATCCACTTGCAAAAAAAGACTAAAAATAATGGAAGCTCTAATAATAAAAAAGAAAAAGCCAACTCTTAACAATATCAACTATGAACAAAGCCACAATGTGCTAACCGTATTCGGAAACTAAAACATCACTACCACACACTGAACATACATAGAACACACTCTACTAAGCTGATAATTGAACCATCCTTGATAATGGCTAAAGGTATAGCCGAAAGCGCTCGGAAACACAGAACATTCGGACAGTTCTTACACACTCTTTGTCCAGAAAAGAAAGCTCTTGTCAGAACACAAGAAAAATTAAATAAAAAGCTCAACTGTAGTACCTTGTCTGTCGTTTTAATAAAACATGCATAAAGGAAGGATTGCTGCTAAAAATACAAATATATATATATATATATATATATATATATATATATATATATATATATATATATATATATATATATTAGGAATTAAGGAGGATTTGAGATAATTAAGTAATTCATCGAGTCTATACGAAACCTCAGCAGAAAGCAGAAAGCACTGGACGGCTGTT